ACTACATGAGAAACTCCCGAAAAGAAAGCAACCCCCCCCTCACCCTCACTTTAAAAACAACTTCAAACTGAGTTTTATCTTGAAAAGCAGGGAACGTTGTCTGTATAGTGATTGTGCTGGGCCAAAAACATGAGTTTGTGTTTACATTACCACATACCTCGGGTTCAGAAAGCTTTTTTAAAAAATGTATTTATTTTATAAGGATTGCAACTTGTCGATCATGGACATGCATGTTGAGTCTCACCCTAATAGAATAATATAATAGTAACGAAATATTATAATAACACTAATAATGATAATGGTAATAAAAATAATTATTATTATAATTATCGTTATTATTATTATCACTATTATCATTGTTATAACAAAAATAAAGTAGGATATAATTATTGTGAAAAGTAACAATAATAATAGTAACAGATGAAATGATAACAATAACAGATAATAATAATAATAATAACAGTAATAATAATAATAATAATAATAACAATAATTATAATAATAATAATAATAATAATAATAAAACTTTATATAGAGCATATCCACGTCCTTTAGTATGCTCCATGCGTTTTACTCCAACAGACCCTGGAGCACCAAGGACTTTCTTCGTTTTCCGGGAAGCATACAGTACAAGCTGCGGATTGCAGGCGCTCACACATTAACAAAAAGTCTATAGTCAGGTTGTCTTGAGCCTTGAAATTCACGTAATAATTTGTGTTGTTTTTCGTTTTCTTTTTATTAAATCCTAAGTGATCCTACGAGGCCCGCGACGTTAGCAGCTGTGAAAGGACCGGGATCTTAGTTAGACAAAACTGGACCATGTTTTATGACCATTGGAGGGAATGCAGTGCAGCAGTCACAGTAAAAAAAGACAGTCATTGATCAACATACAGTGTGGATAGTCGAAGGAAAGAAAACTAATGACAATGTGGCATCCACACGGTCAATAAATGAGATTTCCTTACGTTTCTGTAGAATTTTTGTCTTTTACTCCGTCCTCATTATAAACTCTTATGTGTAGACATCAAAAGTTATGGTAAAATGTATTTCACCTTACCTAAGCATTAGAGATAGAGGGGGAGGGGATGGAGAGGGAGAAGGGAGAGAGAGAGAGAGAGAGAGAGAGAGAGAGAGAGAGAGAGAGAGAGGGGGGGAAAAAGGGAGAGAGAGTGGGAGGGAGGGAGAGAGAGAGAGAAGGAGAGAAAGTGGGAGGGAAGGAAAGAAAGAGAGGACGAAAGATAGGGAGGGTGGGAGGAGAATATATAGTATTATCTACAAAAATCTAAATATAGATATCAATTATGAGTAAAAAGAATTAATAGCATTTTTTGGAAGTCTTACAAGCCTACCAACACAATCCATTTGAGAAATGTACAGGTACTTGAAATCTTATCTCTAAGTCTAAGTGGATCCCATGTTTGTGCGTAGGAGGAAAATGTATCTATGATCGATTAGTTATAAGATCCAACCTATCGTTTTACTATTGTCTGAGGATTAAAATAGGATCTCCGGAGTTCTATGTCACCACTTGACTGGTGGGAAGTGGCTGTCTTCTTACAGAGTCCATGTATGTGCTTGGTTTCCTTTGTTTGTTTGTTTTTAAGTTGAGGTTGCTTTTCTTTTAAAAAATATGAACCTTGGTGCTGAATTCTACACTCAGAATATGTCCTGTTTCTTTAAAATATGGAGTCAATTTAGCTGGAACGTGTCATGGAGTTGTTTTCTCTGAAAGCCGAGGGATAACAGACAGGAAATGTTTGGCTACTTCATTCTCTTCGAAAATTAGGTTAGGTTTTAGTACTAGAGGAAATAGCGGTCTTTTCAACCTCAAATTTTGTGTGCACGGTCATCAACGTACATTTTGCAGAAAACGTGTGATCTTCAAAATGATTGCTGCAGAATCTTAACTCTGTCTGTCCCCAGAAATGTGCACATTATACGAAACAGATGCTGGAGAGACCTGACAATGTCTACTAATAACATGACAATGTACAGAAAGACAATTTAAGCTATAAGAACTTCACATTGACACAGGAAGGATAACAAAAGGTCCAGATTGCTTAGAATACTTGCTTAAGTGTTTAATGAACTCGCAGATTGATAGATAGATAGATAGACAGACAGACAGACAGACAGACAGACAGACAGACAGACAGACAGACAGACAGACAGACAGACACACAGGCACACAGATAGATAGATAGATAG